TGAATTTATTGAATGATGACGTATGTATAATGAACTCTTATTTTTTATTCATTAAATTTACTGAATGATGACGTGATTCAGGAAATTAATGAATAAATTTATAAACATGAGTCCTCATCATAACATTTTTATATAAATAATACTAAACAAGGTAAATTTTGATTTTTTTTTTGTAAATAATACTAAACAAGGTAAATTTTGATTAGTCATATACTCCTACGAAGGAATCGAATCAACGTACTTGTTGCATTACATTTAATTTAGACTTGGACTTGTCCTTCAGTCCAACTTGTACCCAAAAAAAACTAAAACTAATTGGTATAAGCCAATATTTTATTCAAATTAATTAATTGAGCAACACTATTAATTAGGACAACTAGTATCTTTTGTTTAATTGAAAATTACAAGAGAATCATAGTTAGCTGATCAAACATTTGCTTTGCTCACACTCATGATTTATCAGTTTAATTCCTGTCTCGACTTCAAAGGTATGAAACTTTCTATAATTTTTCTAAGTTCAATTTAGGCTAGATTTGATTGGGTTAGGCTCGAGTTGATCATGTAAATTGATTAAATTAGAGTCTTATTGATTTAATTAATTATGCTAAACTTAAGGTGTTGTAATTTATGGAGACGTTTATTATTACAGAATAATATATTTGAATGAGTACGTTGACATCAAAAGCTAGTAAATTAGTCTCCAATGGAAGTTCTCAAGAAATTGTAATGACATTTCCTTCATCTATGAAGCATGGATACTCTTTTCAGGGGTCCCGTACCAGTATTGGACACTTTTCAGACACTAACACCTGTGTCCGAGGCTCGAACACGTGTCCGACACTTTTGTGAAGTGTCCAGAAATTATTTTTTATTAGACACGGCTCGGACATGCAGAGGACACGGGATGGACACGGCTCGGAAACGCAGGGGACACGACAGGGTATATTTTGTAATTTTTTTAAATATAGGACACGGCGAGGTATATTTTGTAATTTTTTTTTAAAAGATAAACAGGGTACCTAATGTTATTTACTAATTTAAAAGTTTAAAAGTAAAATTTTGAAAAAATAAAAAAACAACTACAGACAACAGAGTATTACACAGAAATTTTATTTTCTCTCACTTCCTCTCTCAATCTCTCCTATTCTTCAATTATCTCTCTACATGAACAAGACATTTTTTGTTTTTTTTAAGTTACATGAACAAGATTTTGTGAAAGACTGAAAGTATATATGTTTATTTATATACATATTTAGCTCATTATAGTTATATCTCTTCTGTATATCTTCATTTGGAATTTGGATTAATTTTATTTTTCATTTATTTTCTGTTTTGTCTTGTTTATGTTTTTCTTATAATAGAGATGAAATTATTGAAATTGGTCATGTTATTTGTTGTTATTTTATTTGCAATTTTGTATTTATATATACCTGTTTGCTATTAAGAAAATGAATGTGTAAGGTTCTAGTTATTATATTTTGAATATATATATATATATATACATATATAATTTTATAAGCATATCTCCACCGTATTCATATTTTATTTTTTTAAAATTTATCGTGTCACCGTATCCATATCGTATTGTACCGATGTCTCGTGTTCGTAGTCATTGCGGGTCTTGCTAGACTTGGACTTAATCAAAGCAGGAGTCTTTATGACGACATAGTGTTTCCATATAGCTTTTACTCAACCTCAAAATTTGGGCAAGTGGGAATATAAATGTTTTGAACAATATGGTCAAATATGATGACACAATAAATTCATATTTAATGGATGAATGGACAAGACGCATTAAATAACCTAGTTTATGATCACAATTTTGACGTCATTGAAAGAATGGTGGTTTAGAATTAATTTTTCAACCTCTACTTTAGAAGGTTAACTTGCATGGGTCAATCATAAGAATCCCTGGAAAAAAAAAAAAAAATCATAAGAATCAATGCAGGAATTGAATCAGTTGGTGCGAGGGATAGCATGTCACATAGTCGACGTATTATATATATATATAGACACACACACACGGCTGTAAGAGAGAATTTTAAAATTAAACCCAACTATTAATTCTTAAGAAAGTAACGAGTGAAAAGGAACTATTGTAGTTTGTTAGGGAATTTATAGAGTAACAATTTTCATATGATCACATCATTATTGGTTTGATTTTAAGAGTTACTCTTTATTTTCTTTTTTAAAGGATTAGAATTATTATTATTATTTTTCTGACAATAAGAACAAGCGGAACGACACTTACAAAACAACATTGACAACCAACCCATTAAACCACAGCAAAGCTGCACAAAGAGAAGAACAAAGCAGACAAACCTCTAGACACACCACTCGAAACCACACCAAAAATTAAGGCAAAACAACGAAGAGAAGCAACGCAAGTTAAGTAACAAAGGACTGAGACGGAGAGGATTGTGACCTTAAAAGGTTTTGAATTAAATGCTCCTAATAAAGTGTCTTTCTTTTTCTTTTTCACCTGGGTCAAGTGTGTGATTCGCAGAAATTTCCGTCTCCTTTCCTAGTAAACAAAAGCTGCTCGCAGTAGCCCCACTCACTTGGGCCCAAATTAGATAAATTTCTTTTTAAAAAAATAACGCAATGACAAAGATACTCCATTGTAACTGGAAACAAGAAAACCACCTTTCTATATCTAAAGGCAAGGTCACCTAAATCTGAACCTCGTGCACTAATTAAGTTTGCTGTTATGCATGCCTCTAACGAGGGAGGAACTAGTAATGGGCTAACCTGGGCTATAGCTCAGGTCCAATTGAAAAAAAAAAATTAATATTATTATTCCTATAAGCCCATGTATTACTCTTCCTTATCCTATCAACCCAGCCTAATCCATTGTATTTTTATAAATAAAAAGAGTTATAAATTTTACAAAGGTCAAGTCTTAAATATGAGCAAGCCTGTAAGCCAAAGACATGCCCAATCACAAAATAAATCATAATAAAATATAATAGGGCTCAGCCCAATAAATCAAACACATTGTCAATTTATAGAAGAAGACCTAAACTCTTCGTGTTTAAGGCACTAAGGCATAGGTGGATGGATATCATGGATTATTATTGTTAATCCAGTGAAATATTGAATTTTATTTTTGTAAAAAAATAAATATATAAATAAAAGGCTTTGTTGGTGACTTGATAATTTCTTGTTAAATTAAGTAATTTACTATATAATAGATTAATAACTAGTCAAGAACGGAGCACATAGGTCTTACTTTCTAATGTGAATTTAATAATAAGGAACATATATATCTTGCACTCTTATAGTTGTTTATTTTAATACTTGTATAAAGCACACTTTAGTGAATTCTTGACTGTGAAAATACGATAGAGTTTGGAAGTGTAAATGTGTTAGAAGATTGTAGATTATTGGGTTTAATTGAATAACTGATGCATAATAATTATGTATTTGAGCATGAATGACACACTAAGCAATCATGGTTTTAATAATTTTTAGCCCTCCCTACTTTGCAATCCTAGCTCCGCCCCTGGTCTCTAATCATCATGGTGCCCTACCTCTGTTGGGTTGAAGTAGTAGAACCAAAAAGAAAATGATCTACGGGAAGACCTCTGTAGGGTCCTTTACTCCAACTTGTACCAAAAAAAAAAAACTAAAACTAATTGGTATAGGCCACTATTTTATTCAAATTAATTAATTGAGCAACAATATTAATTAACACAACTAGTGTCATTTGTTTAATTGAAAATTACAAGAGAATCATAGTTAACTGATCATCTCATTTGTTTTGCTGACACTACTTATCAGTTTTAATTGCTGTCTCGACTTCAACTATATAAAACTTTCTATAATTTTTTTAAGTTCAATTTAGGCTTGATTTGGTTGGGTTAGCCTCGAGTTGATCAAATAAATTAATTAGGTTAGAGTCCGATTAGTTTAGTTGTGCTCAACTTAAGGTGTTGTAATTTATCTCCCTCTCATAATGGAGACGTTTATTATTGCAGAATAATATATTTGAATGAGTCCGTTGATATCAAAAGCTAGTAAATTAGTCTTCAATGGAAAGCTCTCAAGAAATTGAACAAGTCAAAGACACATGCTTTTGAACAAGTCAAAGTCTTTGTGAATATATTATGGGGCTGCTGTTTTTCCATATACTGTAGCTTTTACTCTACTTCTCCCATAAATTGTGTTTGTTTATCTCTTGGACCTGGGTCAAGTGTGTGATTCATGTGTCAAGTTTGATTCACAGAAAATTTCGTCTCCTTTCCTTACAAACAAAAGCTTCATCACAACTCCACACATTAATGGGTCAACGCTGAATCCTTCATAGATGTTTGGGCCGGTACAACCATATTGTACTCCTCCCTAATTGCTACCATTCCTTAATGGGCCAGCAAGTGGTTCAGGCCCCACTCACTTGGGCCCAAATTTGTTTTAGAGGGATAAATTTCTTTTAAAAAAAAAACGCAGTGACAAAAATAATCTGAACCCACCTCGTGCACTAAAGTTTGCTACGTCTCTAATCATCATGGTGCCCTACCTCTGTAGGGATGAAGAAGTAGAACCAAGAAGAAAATGATCAACGGGAAGACACTCTGTGATGTAAGTGCCACCACAACCAACAGAGAGTGAAGGCGGGACATAGGAAATAACAGCACACTAGCTTAATAAACACAACCAACAGAGGTTATATGGTATGATGATGAACTCAAATCAGTTTGAGCAGGTCATGACTCTAAAGGAGCTTTTGCAAGAAGACGCATTTATTTACCCAAACCAATTATATTCATCCACCCTAGACAATGAAAAGCAACCTGCTAAACACTTCTAACAATGAAGCAATGCACATCGACTGACATCAAATTAACTGAATTTTATCCATCCCTTCTTATTTATGTAAAATCAACGTTTTCAGGTATCAGTATGAGCCATCGAAGAATCAAAATGATATATATATATAGAGAGAGAGAGAGAGCATTAACATGAAATTAGCATGGAAGGGGGAAAAGAGACCCATAATAAAAATAAAAATAAAAAGAACTAGATTTCCTTTTTTTCCCGTAAAATTGCCCAAAACACCAATTTTTTTTTTTTTTTTTTTTTTTTTTTTTTTTTTTTGAATTGATCTCCAAAAGAAAGGGAAGAAAATGACAAGATATACCAAAAGATGCAACTTGCCAGCATCATCCACAGCAGCAGATCAACATATGCCCTAACCTACCATCTCCTAACCAGCCTTGGAGAATAAAAAATTACAGTTTTAGGGAGGTAGAACTGGGGCACCTCTAACTTACTCTACTATCTTTCAACTGCAAACAATCCCACCAGACCTCCCCACATCTCTCACACCCCACTCATCAGCATTCCATCTGAACAAAAGAGATTAGAAATATAGAAACCATCTGCCAACAAAATTTGGATCTTTCAAGAACAGAAATCAGTAAATTAAGCTTCGGACTCAGATTTGTGAGAGTTCAACTCCGTGGAACCTCTGCTCGAACCACTTGCATGAGATTCAGTCAGCATTGCAAGCTTTGGCTGTATTCCTCGGCACACTTTCAAGGATGGCTTCTTTTTCATGCACTACACAAGAAAATAAACAAAAAATGAGAATGGGTAAAATTGCATTTTTCTTGGTACCAGAAGTCACAAATGTTGCATTTATATTAGTAGCAGAAGTCAAAAGAAGAAGACAATTTAGTCCTGTTAATCTGGATCATTGAGAGGTTCAATTTTTTGAAGATTGATATATAGAGAGTAAGAACATATTCCACAGAAGATCAATCCACTATCATCTAAACCCTCAAACCTCAAATGAGAGAAAATCCAAACAAATTCTGCCCCAATTTGATTCACAGTGAGTTTTCAACAATTTTGTCTACAGTTTTGGCATGGAATAGGGGCAATTATTCCTAATGGATTCTAACACGGCAAAGCTAGAATTGGTTACCTCCTGAAAGAATGCATTGATCTCCTCCTCCGTAATTTCATCCTCTCCAGCATTTTCCTCCCAACCAAGAGAACGAAGAAACCTGACCTCCTCCTCAGATGGATATGTTGATCCATTAAGGCACAAATTCTTCTCCCCAACATCAGAAATTGTCTGAACATCATCATGAGTATCACCATTGCTAGTCACCTTGCTACCATTCTCAGTAGCACAAGGACTAACAGGAACATTAACTTCCTTGGCTACTTCACCAGATTTTTCTACAGTAGGAGATAAAGCAGAAGTTCCTGAATCTGTGAGGTTGAAAGACGCATTCTTTGAGGTTTTCTTCCTCATGAGATTGAAAAAATCACTCCGGCTCTGGGCCTGAGAGAGGGTAGGTTTCTTCTCCAACGTGGCAATTGAGGTAGCCGCCTTCCGTTCAACAGAGGAAAGCTTTGGGCTCTTCACAGGAGCAGATGGAGAAGAGGGAGCAACAGCAAGCTGGCTATTTGCTTCTTTGCTGACATTATTACTAGTCGGACTAGATACATCCTTTGCAGTAGAAGAGACACCATTCTCCCAGACAGGTTTGAGAACAAGGAACTTCCCACCAGCAGATGTCTTTGGAGCATCAGATTTGACATGTTCACCACGAAGAGATTGAGTAGCAAGCTGCGACGAATGGGTCTGCTGCTGCGCACTCTTGGCAGCCACATTTGTATCATTGGTTCTAGCTGCTGATTTGGGCTTTGATTTATCAGAAGAATTAAGAACCTGAAAGACATATATATTAGCTATTAAGTATCCATTATATGTTTATGCAATTTTCATGGGAACCATTTATTCTCATGTAAATGACATGTAAATTAATTGAGCTTAGCATGAAAACTTCACATGGCTCAGAAAATAATTCTAATGAACTTTAGAAGAGATGGCATATGAAAGCAGAACAAAAAGAGAGAAAAACGTGAAGGTTCAGTATGTCATCAGTTAAATATTAAATCTCTAACCATCATGTTCACAACAAAACTCACCACGGGATTTATACTTTTTTGTATGACAAATTATACAATCCTGGGACATTATGGAAAGTGTGTTGTTTAATCAATTTATTACTAATAACCTTCTTAAGGAAACAGAATATTGACCAGGTCTCATTCATCTAATTTTATCTGAATGTTAATATAGATAGCCACTTCATAATCTTAAAGAGAGACACCTCATAATCTAAAGTGGACCCTCGTCTTTTCCAATATTTGATATTCCATTAATGCAAAACCTTGAACCCCAATTAGCACTTAACTTGAGCTAATAAACCTCACAGCTTTCCATGGAGATACTATAACTTCCGTTAAAGCATACAACAGTAAGCCCACCTTTGGATGGAGAGAAGGAAAGGGGAAGGTATGGAAGAAGCTTCCATTTTTTGGTAGAAGGGAGAGGAAGAGGGGAAGAATGGGAAGAGGGATGGTAGAAGGGAGAGGAAGAGGGGAATGATGGGAGGAGGGATGAAGCACCCCTTCAGGCTCCCAGCTTTTCTTCCATTCACTTTTATTTTGAAAGCTGTTGTGAGTGAGTTTAGAGCGCGCTCCTTCCGCTAAAAAGAGTCTCACACCCACACAAACCTCGATGTGTGCCCTAAGTGCGGCCTCCTTTTCTTTTCGGTATACCATTTTCCAACAGGAAAGAAAATGGAATCTTAAGAATCAACTCCAAAACTTGTTTCCATGTTCGGGATGCAGCTCTTTCAGTATCTCTTGTTTTTTTCCTAATTCTTTGGCAGCCCTTTCCTTTATGTCCGACTAAAGAGGTTGACCAGATTGGTTGGTCGAATCTTCCTACCCTGACAATTGAACTAGCATTGCCCCTGCCCATGTCTCCAAGTGACATCCGTTTGGTCTTTCTTTTAAGGGCTCACTTCATGATCCGTATTGATTTTATTCTCTTTTTACCTCTGTCTGGTTTCCAATAACCATTTTGCTTCCATCCAAAAGTGCGAGGAAGAGGAGAGATAAAGAATGAATAGATGTTGGAAAAATTAAATAAATAATAATAATAATAATCTTTATCACCCTCGTATAAGTGTATTAATTTAAACAATTGAGAGTATAATGGTAAAATAAAAATATCACATCTTTCATTCCTTCCACTCAACCAATCAAAACGATGGAAGGGCACCCCCTTCGCTAGAGATGCCTCTTCCATCCATTATTTCATCCCTCCTACCAAACAAACCAGAAGAATACATAATCAACTGAATTAACTTCCGGAAATGCACTGGTTTAAATACAGCAGAGAGGTATACCTTCTAAACTTGGTTAATATTTTTTTCAAAATATAGTTATAAAAGGAGGGGCGGGATCACCATCTTTTTAGACGGTGCAAAAAATGTTTAAGCCACAATTATTGATCACGGTGTAGTGGTAGAATGGTGACAGATGGTATGCTAATAATTCTGCCGTCCAACACACATTTGCTCGCAATAAGACCACATTACCCAGTTTGCTAATCTACACTAAAAATACCATGCTTCTCTGGTTGGCATTTGGCACTAACAAACCAAAATATTTTACCTGTATTTCCTTTCAATCCTTAATATAAAATATACATATATATGTCCCACAAAGTGATGAAATAAAGGTAAAAGGCAATTCACCTCAAAGGGAGCCAGGGGATGAATACCACAAACTATTGAACTCCCGTGTTGGGAAGGCAGGGTGGAGGAGAGATGAGATGAGTCCTACCACCTGGATGGAGAGTTATGATGTGAGTTACTGAGCTCAAGTTCACTTTTAAGTTTTCAAATGTTATACAAATGTTACACAATGAGGAGCACTCAAGAAGCTTACGAAATGTCTCAGATTATGGGCAAAAAAGCACAAAGTAACAGCAATAAATTCGTCGATGCAAGTACAACGAATAGGCACACAACTCGCCCCTCTCCTCTCCAGAGTAGTAAAGTAATCTACACTTAATGAAGGTCAACCAAAAGGTCTTAATTGGGAACTTCAAGAAAGGAAAGAACTCGAATTCAATATGGACAGAATCCAACAGCTTCAGAAAGACTATAAATCAAACAGGGTATCTTACTGTGTTGGCAAACTGATTTGTGAGAAAACAGAATCAAATTCATATATTGTAAACCCGCAATGCAGTAATAAAAATGGAAGCTATGTTACCAAAAATCCTGTTTATCTCAGAGTAACCAAATTGATAAGACACAACATCAGTATCGGTAAGTGATTTAGTAGGACACAACTGTCCGAAGTGTTGGAAACACAAAAAGGGAGAATAAGAGGAAATTGCACCTACTGGAGCGCTTCAAAATAAAAATTTCAGTTTCTGAAGTATAACTGGCCTATCAAGTCTCAACAGAGGTTAATGATCACCAAAACTGTTGCAAAAATTCGATAGAATGAGGATATCACCTACCAGAGCAACTCAAAAGCTTTCTTCTGGAGGCTCTCAATTTACCACACAGAGAAAAGGAAATTCAGGATAATATGATAAAAAATAATAATAATAAATTGATATTCTTCCCCAACTTAAACTGCATTTTCAGACTAACCTCCAGTGCATTCATATTCTTTAATCTTTATAAAGCCTTCTAATTTTCTATATTCTTTCAGGACTTCTTTTCTTTTGCAACTAATTTAATGCTAGTATCATAAAAATAAGTGAAATTTATGAAGGTGTGCTCAACATGCCCACATTCTGTACCCAATTTTTGGACTCACTTTACATATGTCTTGTATCCTATAATAGGTAAACGCAACACTTTGATACGTGCATTTAACCGGCATCAATAACCAAGACCAATCAAAATATATAAATGAAATAAAAGAAAAAATCAGATCTCAATGGACACAAGGAAGAACATCCCGATCAATCCAGTTACCAAGAAAAGCTAACTAAGCATCTACATATTCTGTGAAATTGTGAAGCAAAATTCTTGATGACAGAACACTTATCACCAAAACAGATATGAACGTATCCATAATCATAATACATGCATACATATACATGCATATACATATATATACATATATATATATATATATATACAGAGAGAGAGAGAGAAGTTTAAATGGATGTGCAAGCATCAACATATTCTTTATAATTGATTTAGCAAGTTTCGTGATGGCAAAACGTGTACAATCACCAGAACAAAAGCAATGAATGCATAATCATAATGTGTGTGTCTAGAGAGAGAGAGAGAGAGAGATAGACATTCTAATGGATGTGCAATATTGACAATCTATTATCAATGAATTATCTAGCTTTACAGATCTTAAATCAAAATAACAAATAAAAGACCTCACACTTTTAACAAGCAGAACAGTCTATTAATTGGAATTTCAATTCAGTCTAGAGGTAACTACCCAGGAACCAGGAAAAAATTATTACCCTGCCTAAATTTACCTAAATTGATAACAAATTTACATCTAATTTTTTAGATTAGCTAATATTATTTTATTTATACTGAAAAAAGATTTGACTCAGCAATACAAAGACGCCCCAACAGTGATTCATATAACAGTTAAAAATTACAACTTCAATCATTCTAAACAAAACTAGAATTAGAAACTCAAAAGGATTTCTATGACTGATAATAGTACATATATATATTCATCAGTTTGAAATCAAATTTTGCAGAACAACCACTCAATGATGAAGGCTATGCCTTTTTTTAGTGTGTATATATACGTACATGCATGTGGGTGTGGGCAAAATAAAGTACAGAGTAGGGAGAGAGATGGGGCATCTCAAGGAGAGATGAAAAAAGAGAGGAACCACTTATAAGCATGTTTTTCAAACCAAAAAAAAAAGTATAAAAATATAATTATATATAAAGAAGACAGCATAAAAAAATGTACTCCTATATCTGTACTCCTATCTGGGTCATGTAGCTGATATTACATAAGTGGGGTACCCAATAAATTATATGTAATGAATAAAGACATCATGTCATAAAGTTTAGTGCTATGTAAGAATACTCCAACCATAAGTAAGAAAAAAGGATTAGGGTTGCACTAGGTAGCTGATAGCCAGCATAAAACCCTCATACCCATGAACACAACTTCCAGAAATAGCCAAGAATGCTAGGGCATCCACTACAAGTGGCTTATTGCATCAATTCCTGGGTGTTCTCAAGATATGGGCAATAGGTGCCACATGGCACATGAATCCATAGAAAGTGAGTAAGGGTTTGTGTTATTTTGATAAGCAAAGATAAATAAGCTGGTCTAATATACCACACTTAAAATAGCACATGTATTATAGGAACATTCACAAGTTGAGAGATGGAGCTGGTAGATACAGTAATTAGAAGAAAGGTTATATACCATACCTACAAAATATTATGTGATATAAGCGAAGCGAAATTAAAAATACATGATATAAATTCTATTGCCCGGAGTAGATAGACATAAACAAGGATTTGCACTTGCATAATCATAGTAGGACTAAGCGAATCCACGGGGAATCATATGAAGAACATTTAAAAGAAGAAGAAGAAGAGGTGAACACTTAATAACAATTAAAAGTGAATTAAACAATAGTGAGAAGCCAAATTGATTTGTCTAAATACAAGAATAGATAGTGAGACAAAAAAGACTATAACTTAATGTCACAACATAGGTTGATAGAAGGAACTTGGTAATTTTTGGTCGCTCTCTCTATCTCTCACGTTCTATTACAACTACTTTTCCTCATCTGGCCTATCATAATTTTTTTTTTTTCAAAAAAAAAAAAAAATGAAGATGACTATTATCTGAAGGAACTTGGTAATGGGATGATAATCCTTTTCTGATCAAAGCTAGTAAAACTAAAAAAGAAGTGCTATAAATTTTGACCAAAAAAAAAAAAAAAGAGGAAAGAAAGTTACATACAAAGAAAGAAGTTAATAAGTAAAAAATAAATCATAAGCACAACGCAAACTAAAATTCATTTGAATTAGATAACCTGATGAGAAAATATAAACGAACCTGTTAAGTTAAGAAAGATGAAAATAAGTTTTAAATCATACTAAATACATAAAGAGTAAGGATTTAAGGGTCTTGGGAAAAGATTATGAAATGATAATTGCTATGGGCTTACATTAAGAATTAACATTAATCCCCCATCACTATCAATAATTAAAAAAGCATATGCAGAATGAAACTTCATGGTGTATGATATTTTCTGAAAATATTTTTTTGGTTAATGAAACTAAAGGTAGGATAAATGCTAAAATTAGAGCTAAGGAAAGAAGCTCTACTTGAGAGGTTTTAAAGTTAGTAGGACTAGCACTTAATATAGAAGTGCAAATATAGTAAAAATAGGAATACAAGTAGTATATAGTGAAAAACAAAGGTCAAGAGACAAAATAAATAAATAAATAATAATGTTGAACGATTAAAAATGTCAATTATATGTTCATAAAATGAATAGAACAGTGCTTCTAACATATTGAGTACTTCCTGTATACCTCTAAAATTAAATCAGAAGCATTAATTAGAGTAAATGGTTATTAGACCAACTATACTTTGTGGCAAAATATGTTGGATGATTATAAACAGTAAATAAATTGAAACGAGATTGTTGAAAAGTAAATATTAAGATGGATGTGTTGTCAGACGAGAAAGGATGAGATTAGAAATTATATCATTCATGGAATGGTTGAAGTAGCATCCACATGAGATAAAATGAGAGAAAATCGACTAATATGGTTTAGTCAAATTCAAGGAAACCAAAAACTGCACTATTAAGGAAGAGTAATGCTAGTATAAGAGAAAAATCAAAATTAACGTAAGTTGATATTGTAAAAATAATGGTTCCAGGGAAGTGGAAAAAAAAAAAAAAAGTAAAATAAGGCTTACAGGAGAAACAAAAAACAAAAAACAAAAAAAACAAAAAAACAAAAAAAAAAAAAAATGTAAAAATAAGATATCATAGTGTGGTTCTATGAAGCACGGACACGGATACGGGACATGGGTACGATACGACACGGATACGGGACATGGGTACGATACGACACGGATACAGCAAATTTAAAAAAAACAGGAGATGGACACGGACACGGCAAGGATATGGCAATAAAATAATAATATATATATTTATTTTTACTCAATTTTTAATTTATATTTAATAAATATAACTTTTAAGCCCATTATTCTCTTGAAAAATATAGGCCCAAACATCTTTAAAATATAAACCAAAAAAAGGAAGTACATATTTGTATCTAAAAGTAGAATTATTATTCTTATAACAGGTTCTAAAAGATAAGATTGCAATCTTATCACTTCTCTCTTCCCTGGGGTTTTTATTACCTTTTTTTAAGTCAGTATCTTTAGGGAACGAGACAGAAGAGGGGAAGCATATGCTTCCAAATAGGAATTGATCGCAAACAAGTAACCTATTTTCAAAGCTTTTCATCGGCCAAAAGTCTGAAAAGGCAAATTCTCTCTTCTCCTGGAAGAGACTTTCTCATCTCCACCATCTTTCCCTCCCTCAATCTGTCTTTCCATGAATACACACAACCATATACATGTATATATCTCCTTATCATTTTTTTTTTTTTTTTTTTTTTTTTTTTTTGACAAAAAATCTGAACCCGTGTCCTATGCGTGTCGTCGGCGTGCCCTTTGCCATGTCCAGCATGAAAAAAATGATAAAAAAAAAATAGGACACCTCTACAGAGGTGTCGGACACATGTCGGAGCCTCGGACTTGCATGTCCATGTCAGACACGTGTCCGACACCGGTACGACAGCCCATTCCCACGTGTCGGTGCTTTATAGGTGTGGTTTGATTGAAATTATTCCCTTAAATAAAGCAAATTGACAAAACAATATTCATATAACCAACCCCAACATGCCAAACATGCCTGCACTTCACCCAACGCCACCAATTCATGACTAGTCAATACATGAAACTGACATGCCACGCATGCTCCTCTGCCATATCATCAGCATATTTTTCAAACATGAAAAATATTTTGGTGACTTCATTGTTCAAAAAAAAAACAAAAAAAAAAAAGGGAACATGAAAACACCTATGAAAAGAGGACTATCCAATGATATAAACAATATAAACAAAAGCAACAACAAACTTTATATCCTACATAAACGATATAATGGTCAGATGACCCAATGCAACCACCTCGCAACTTTCATTAAACAATAGTTGTTGAGCATTAGTCAAAATCGGAACCTTACCGACCAACCATATAACATCTTGATTCTTGAACGACCCAAAATAAGCGCGCGCGAACACACACACCCCTTCTTTTAAAACATTATTCACAGTTCAGTCATCTAAAACAGTTGAAGCACTAACTAAAGTTATGACTCCCTGTTTCATATGAGAGTAGTTCCAGACAAAGTTATGAGAACAAAGCTAACACAAAAGTTCAATGTCTTAGGTTCTCTATTGAGCCTTTTACCTATGATAATCAACGTAGATATTTATTAGAAAGGATATAGATAAAGAATGACAAAAGTTACGAGAATATAATCCTAAATAATAAGTTAAAAAAATGTACTAACCAAAACTGAACTTTCCATCTATAGAATCCAACAAGCAAAAGCCAAAAATTTCAAAAATAAACACACTAAAAATATCATCAAATGAAATCATCGTACCAAAGCTTTAGGCATGGAGGGTGTCATGGGTATTAGTTGCCTGCATTGCCTTAAAGCCAATTCCTCAAGCCGTTGTGTCTTATCAGGTAGCTGCAGTAAAGAAAAATGACCCGTTAGACCAAACAGCCAGCCATGGGTATTAAAATGCAAACAAAACAGGAAGAAGAGACTGGTTACCTGGGGAGTGGTACGTGCTCGAGATGGAGCCTGTGACAATGTCTCAGCCATGTTAAGACCAGCCAAAGCACTTGAAGCCCCGGGAGATTGAGTGGCAAAAGCACTTTGTTGAATAGATGATGTCCCCGTGCTATTGCTGCCAATTATCTTGGGCACCTCTGCCAAAGCTGAGGTCCATCCCTCACCACCAATCAAGCCTGAACTACCAATAGGTAAACTCTGGACTGCTGTGCTCAAAATAGGAGATAAAATTCTCCCTATATCAGGTTCTTCTTGCTTCTCGTCAGTTCTGAGGGAAGGAAAATCCTTCTCAAATGCAGCTTTCTGGATGCCACTAACAATGCTGCCCCCAGAAGGCATATCATTGCCTCTATTGTGATTGTTGCTACTGCCATTTTTTAAGTTCAATGCTTTCCGAGTCAACACCTCACTCTGTTTCCCGGACACCATTGAACGGGAACGCCTCAGTGTATCCTTCTCACCCCTACTAATTAAGATGTTTCCTAATGGGTCAGACAAATCATTGTCCCAGAGGTCTCCAATAGCCGACCTCTCTTTATCTTTGTCACGATTTTTATCCCGATGGCTTCGAGTGAAACTACTGTATGGATGCTTTGTAGAACCATTACTAGTTGAACTACGCCGAGAATTAGAAGAAGAGGTTCGATCCAGAAAAGCAGAACGAGGGGTGTCTCTATCAATTATGCTCCTAGAAGATCTATTTCTCGTGGGGTGTCCCAAGGAATGATCATCTACAAGAAAACAAATAACACAAAATTGATGCTAAAAACTAGTTATAGAACAAAATAGTGCAAAACAAAAGAATAGGCAACTGCAACTAAGCAAAACTTGACATAATAATTGTACCTGAGTGCATAGAAGATGCTGCAAAATGGTGGCCTGAATTGCCACCCCCAGTAACACTTCCAGTACTTCTCAACCATTCTGGAACTAGTGTGGGTTCACTTCTTTCCATGAGAATTTAACATGATCAAATATAAAAAGAAACGTATACTTGCCTTCCTTTTCTCCCTAAAACTCCCCCAGCAAAATTATATTATTTCTCTGCACAACTAGTAAGGCCTAATATTGCTTCACAATTGACACCAATTGCCCAACCACATCCGTTAATCAAAAACTTCAAATCCTTCCAAAAGCGCCCATCGATTTTAAAAAGAAATTAATGAGTTCCTCTTGTCAAGCAAAACTAGAGTTCATGCCCTCTCTAGGTTAATTAAAATAAGAGTAAGGATTAACACAAGCCAAAGAGCAAGAACAAGAGGCACAACCCTGATCCGAGACAATCAAAGAAGATCAGAAGAATAGCTTCCCTACGCCTCCATCTTCAACAAAAGATGGATTTGCAGATGAAGAGAGCACACTCAGAGGACCCTCATTCTCCAAAAACTAGAGTTCAATATCATGAAAAGTTCACAAGTCGTGTAAAAGTGAAGAAAATCGCTCTGTTCCCAAACAACGGTTCAAATAATCAGACCAACAAAAAACCCTAGAGAGCAATAGAATCAGAGAGTAACAACCATGAGAATGTAAAGCGATATAAACCCTAAAACATGAGTTCCGACGCCTAGGGTTTGAACAGAACAAAATCAATACCCAAATAGGAAAATTCTTGACCCAGAACAATATTGAAACAGAGAACTAACCCTACCTCCTTGATTGATGAATACGCCAGACGAGGTAGTTAGCCGTAATACGATCCAAGCATACCCTAACCGCTCGAATAACCGCCAAAGAGTGTTCGTATGCGTGTTTATGTATAAAATATATGTATATTATATCATTCCAGGAAAAGAATTGTTGTGGGACGAGACTTCGACGGCGAGGGGGAGTTGTGGAGTCTAGAGAGAGAGAGGGGGGGGGGGGGGGGGGGGGGGTGTTTAGAGAGAGAATGGAGTGTGATATTAGGGCAGTTATAGAGAGAGAAAGGGGGCGTGAGATGTATAAATTTCTGTTAGTTTCGGAAGGAGAGTGGAGGAACGAAAACGTATGAAGAAGAGGCTCTTCTTAAGATATATATGAATTTCCTTTTCTTTTCTAGTTGTGTTTCTGTTTCCTTTCTTGGTCGCCAAATAAAAATCCCTATTCCACACACACACACACACACACACACACACACACTCTTTTGGGCTTTTTACTCTTCAAAATTGAAATCTTAGCTCATATACAATCCATGTATAATTTGTCTGCTATACCTTAGGCACGGTGCTATGGTTTTTTTTTTAAATAAAAATAAAATAACATAAAATTGGTCTTTATCTTGAAATCTCGTGTGTGAACTAGTGTGATTTAGTCCATCCATCTAAGGATTGTCAAAGAAATGTACATTAAGATCAATTTAACCTCATACAATATAAGATAAGGTATTTTTTTATTTTTTTATTTTTTTTGTCTTTATCTTGAAATCTCATGTGTGAAGATAAACAAGTTTTCAATGAATTGGGATTTGTTTTGGTTTCTTCAGTTTTTGTATTATATTTGACTTCTTAGGCTTGTAATAAAAATAAAATAACGAATAACCAATGACCAAAACAGATTTGTTGCTCTGAAATAATGTACAATTATAAAGTGAAAATAATGTACAATTATAAAGTATAAAAAGATATTTATATATATTGCCTTGATAGGGCACATAATTGCAGTAACTAGATGTGGTCTTTTTTGGTATGAGAGGGCATTTTGTTTTTTATTTTTTTTTCATTCCTTTTATGGATAAATTGAACAAGAGACCTAAGTCACCTAACCTCGAAACCTTTTGTGAAACGTGGTGTCCAAGGCTCCAAGGTCCACAATCAACCACTAGATTTTGACTATCATATTTTACTATTAGCCAATTTAATATTTTTAATTACCAACCCTTACCAATTTAACAAATATAATCATGGTTACTAAACTTACCTAATAATAATAGGAAAACAAAAAAAACTTACTTAATAATCAAAATTTGACTTTGCATATCATATTTGATTTGACTATGAGTGAATCATGTCATTTTTTTATTATTTTAAAAATAATACAAGGAAAGGAATGGAAGATATTTTAGGAAATTTTTGAAAATAAATAAATAACAAGAATGTTAGAAGGTTAGTTGTTAGATAAGAAGGCCCTCGAACATGGACTCCTGAACACATAAAGTAATTCAACTACTCAAGTAACACGGACACAATTCATTTTTGTATTTCCAAGTCCAACATCTTTTTCTCCATCTTCCCCACCCTAAATTAAGATCCCATTTACCAATATAAGTCGTTAGCCCAAAAATAAATCAATAAACAAATAATAATAATAATAATAAAATCCATTTTCCATTTATATTCGTATCGTAAGCTGATGAGACACCTAATAAAGACATACAACAAGAGGCCTAACATTCCCTTACTACCCATACTATCTTGCCTCCTCAAATTGCCATTTGTAGTCTTCAATGTTCATTCTATAATAAAAATGAGTAAATAATAGAAAAAAAATAAAAGTTAAATACATCATTTATTTATTTTCTATTTCTCTACAGTTGGATCAATAAAATTAAGAAGAACCATTCCTTTCTGTCTCTATGGATACTTTTAATTTTTAATTTTTTTGGGGGTAAATAAGTCTGAAATTACAATAAAAAGGAATATGGACAAATGGGCCTACCAAAAATGTCCAGCAGCCCAAAAGAGAAAAGTACACGAATTATTACAAGCATCAAGCCCAATCCAATAAACAACCAAGTCCAGGCCTTCAATCAACCAAGACCAATCTCTTCATGAATACCCCTTGGCCAACGTAATTTTAAAATAAATAAATAAATAAATAAAAAAGAAGAAGATGAAAAAGAAGAAGAAGAAAAGCCTATTCTTCTGTATCTCATATGGGTTTCATAATTATAGGAATAGATACGGGACTCAATTTTGCAACCAGAGGAAGCCCAACAATATTCATAAATAGATGTATCTATATATTTTAAAATAAAGTTAATAATAAATCTCAAAATTAGAACTTTATAAACTAAGATTTTTTCAGAAAATCTATACATTATTAATACAAAAGAAATAAAAGTAAGAATGAAGGAATAGACGAAAAACTCCACTGGGTCGAGTTTGTTAGGAGATATTAATAACAAATGGTCTAATTTAAAATTTCATTTTTCACTTTGATTGAATTAAACAAAATAATTACATATACATCAAGAATCATTGTTCATGTCGAATAATTCATCCTCTAAAGAAATTTTGGAAAAAATTTGTCATGTTTAACCATCTTTATATCTTCAAATGAGGATTTCAAAACAACAAACAACTCATCAAAACTACTCGATTTCGAGATATTTAAATTCAAATGTTACACAATTAAAAATTTAAATTATTATTAAAGTATTCATATTCCTTATTAAAGGCGCACAACAAGTGCAAGTGTTCTGCTTGGGTGCGCCTTCGACAAGGCTGGGTAGCAGTGAGCTACATGGAAGTGTTGAGATAAATATAAGTAACCAAAGCCTTACCTCCACTCTTTGTTGCCAGGTTTGATTCTTAAATATTAGACCTTCTAAAAATTTACAACAAAAATCACCAAAACGAAAATTTATATAACAGTTAAAAATTAAAACTTCAATCTTCTAAATGAAACTAGAACTAGAAACTCAACAATTTTCTAAGCTAATAACCGCAATTAATGGCTTATCATAGCTGGTAATGAAAGTATGCACTACAAGGACAATAAAGAAAGAGAAAGGAGATAGGAATCCAATAACTAGGTCATCGTCATCGTTGTCTTAATTCCATATGAATGGGGTCGGCCACATGAATTTCTATCTCCAAAGTTTTCTATTATATGTCATTTCACCTAGTACTATATTTAACTTTTTACAGTCATTTTTAATAACCTCATTACATTTTATTTTTGGTCTCCCTTTCCTCTCTTACCTTCTATTACAACTATTTTTCCTCATGTGACCTATCATAATAAAAAATCAAAATTGACTATTATATGAAGGAACTTGATAGTGGGATGAGAATCATTTTCTCATCAAAGCTACTAAGAATAAAAAATAAGTGCTATAAATTTTGAGAGTTTAAAAAACATTACATATAAAGAGGGAAGTAATTTGAAAAGATATCTAAAAAAGATATCATAAGCACAAAAAAACTAAAATTCATTTGAATTAAATATAAGGACGAGGGAAAAAAAAAATGATCTTGCTTAATAAAGATGAAAATTAGAGATTTTAATCATACTAAATACAAAAAGAGTAAGGACTAAAGTAAGGAATTAAAAGTCTTTGGAAAAGATTATGAAATGATAATTGCCATGAGCTAACATTAAGAAGTAAAAGAAGAGTAAATATAGTAAAAATAGGAATACAAGTAGTGATAGAGTGAACGTCAGAGGTCAAGACACGCACAAACAGACAAAATAATTTGTTGGACAGTTAAAAACGTCAATAATATCTTCATAAAATGAATAGAACAGTGCTTCTAAGTTATAACATATTGAGTCCTTTTTGTATACCTCTAAAATTAAATCAAAAGAATTAATTCAGAATAAATGGTTATTAGACCAATAATACTCTGTGGCATAAAATGTTGGACGGTTAAAAACAGTCTGTCCATAAATTGAAACGAGTTGTTGAAAAGTAAATATTAAGATGGATGCGTTGTACGACGGAAGAGAAGATGAGATTAAAAATGATATCATTTCATGGAATGGTTGAAATAGCATCCACAATCCACATAAGATCAAATGAGCCTTTTAACTACGATAATCAACATAGATATTAATTAGAAATCTTATAGACAAAGAATGACAAATATATTGAGAATATAACCTAAATAAAAAAATGTGTCAAGCAAAACTAACCTTTCCAACTATAAAATGCAACAAGCAATAGCCAAAATTTTCAAAATAAAAGACACTCCAAAAATGTCATCAGAATGAAATCCTCCTACCAAAGCTTTAGGCATGGAGAGTGTCATGGGTATTAGTTGCCTGCATTGACTTAATGTTGATTCCTCAAGCCGATGTGTCTCATCAGGCAGCTGCAGGAAAGAAAAATGGCCCGTTAGACCAACCATGGGTATTAAATGCAAACAAAACAGGAAGAAGAGATCAGTTACCAGCTGGGGAGTGGTACGTGCTCGAGATGGAGCCTGTGACAATGCCTCAGCCATGTTTAGACCAGCCATAGCACTTGAAGGTCCCGGAAGATTAGGCGCAAGAGCACTTTGTTGAACAGAAGATGTCCCCATGCTATTGCTGCCAATTATTCTGGGCAACTCTGCCTAAGCTGAGGTCCATCCCTCACCACCAATCAAGCCTGAACTGCCAATAGGCAAACTCTGGACTGCTGTGCTCGAAATAGGAGACGAATTTCTCCCTGTATCAGGTTCTTCTTGCTTCTCGTCAGTTCTGAGGGAAGGAAAATCTTTCTCACATGCAGTTTTCTAGATGCCACTGAAAATGCTGCCCCTAAGAAGCACATCATTGCCGCTATTATGATTGTTGCTACTGCCATTTTTTAAGTCCAATGCTCTCCGAGGCATCACCTTACTCTATTTTTTTTTTTTTTCATAGTTGGTACTCACACACACAAGCCTCCACTGAGGCTTGAACCCTTGACCTCTCTTTGGGAAGTAAGAGTCTAATACCACTAGGCCACCGACTGTGTTTCCTATACACCATTGAATGGGAACGCGCCAGTGTATCCTTCTCACCCCTACTAATTAAGATGTTTGATAATGGGTGTCCCAGAGGTCTCCAATAGCCGACCTCTCTTTATCTTTGTCACGATGGCTTCGAGTAAAACTACTGCAGCTAAGAAAAACTTGACAAAATGATGGTACCTGAGTGCAAAGAAGATGCTGCAAAATGGTGACCTGAATTGCCACCCCAGTAACTCTTCCAGTACTTCTCAACCATTCTGTAACTAGTGTGGGTTCACTTCTTTCCATGAGTAAGGCCTAATATTGCTTCACAATTGCCAGCAATTACCCAAATTACCACCTAATCCTTCCAAATTAATGCGCCCCGTCCATTGTAGAAAGAAATTATGGGTTCCTTTTTGTCAAGCAAAAACAAGGGTTCATGTTCAACAATAGCACACACGCACAACCCTAATCCAAAAAAATAAAAAATTAACAAAAAAATTAAATTAAAAATAAATAAATAAACGGTTCCCTACGCCTCCATCTTTAACAAAAGATGGATTTGCAGATGAAGATAGCACATTCAGAGGACCCTCATTCTCCAAAACCTAGAGTTCAGTTTCATGAAAAGTTCACAACTCCATTACAAGTGAGTGAAGAAAATCGCTCTGTTTCCAAACAGCTGTTCATAAAGTCAGACCAACAAAAAACCCTAGAGAGCAATAGAATCGCAGAGTAACAACCATGAGAATATTTAAAGCGATATAAAGGCTAAAACATGCGTTCCAAAGCCTAGGGTTTGAACAGAACAAAATCAATACCCAAATAAGAAAATTCTTGACACAGAACAATATTGAAACAGAGAACTAACCTACCTCTCCTTGATTGATGAATATGCCAGGCAAAGAATTATTGAAATTTAAGAAGTAATTAAATATAAACAAATTAGGGTTTAAACTTGTTATTTTAATTCTACACTTATATTGTTAAATCATTATGAAATAAAGTAACATTTGTACTACTTATTATATATTAATCCCTTATTATCATTTATCATCATATCATTAAGAAATACTATAGTAGTTCATTATTATAATTATATCCACTAACATAAAAGACATAAAAGAACACCACCCACCCTTTATAAAAGCTTCCGCACCAGCCCTCTTCAAATTTTGCCTCTCCAAAATTGTTACTTTAGCTTTTTCAAGAGTCACCTCAATAATTTCAAGAGACACGTTTTTTGCTCTCCAAAAATAGGTTCTTCGAATTTTTGCTCTCAAAAAAAAAAAAAAATAAATAAATATATATATATATATATATATATATATATATATATATATATAACTTCTTCCTAACGGCTATCTTTTTAACCGCTATATTCCTAACAATTATATTTGCAATGGCTATATTTCATATACTATAATTTTTATTATGTAATGATTTTTTAATATTAAAAATGATGAAATTGTTTCTCAATGGCAATATTTTTCAATCAAACAATATCTTTGTAAATTATTAAAAAAGCTAAGATTGAAATTATAGCTGTCAACCAAATAGTGCCTTAAGGGCCAAATGCACTGTTTGTAGCAGAAATTTAAAATTTAGAGCAAAAAAAGTTATGAAAAAAAAAAATCAATTTTTAATGGAAAAAAATAAAGGTTTATTAATTTATTTTTGGCCAAAATCAATTTTTTTTTAGATAAACAGTGCCTAAACAATATATTTTTATTTAGTAAATTTTATTTTTTTTTATTTTTTTTTTAAAAAAAGAGCTCAAAATAACCCACTTTTGGATTTTTTTGCAAAAAAAACTTGCAGCCAAAGAGTGCTTATGACACTGTTAATTGACCGTTGATATCTAATTTTAAAACAAAAGAAAAAAGCTCCCCAAAAACAACACCGTTTTGGTAGCAAATAAGACGACGACAAAAAATAATAATAATAAATAAATAAATCTTAGAGCAATGGAGCTTCAGCTCGTAGAATACCGCACGCCAGCCCTCAAGCCCTTATGAACCCTCCTATTTTCAACTAGGCTGGTGGAGCGGTACTGCCTGTTTGGCTCATGGAAAGGGCCTTCTCCAAGTGTGGATGCCACTAAGCGCTTCTTTGTTAATAGGTCATTTAAATTTTTATTTATCTTAGTTTCAATAAAAGTCACATAGATAATAAATTTTATTTTGTCTTTTTAAAATGATATTTAGTTTACCAAATTTAAGTTGTGAGGGTCAATTTGCCATGCGTTTGGGTCGTTGAAGTTCACAATAGGAGATTCATCTTCCTCCCACAATAGATACGGATGTGAAATGAAATTAAATGAGTATATATATGAGTTGGATGTAAGTTTCACCCAATAACTTAATAACTTAAGTTGTCATAAATCTAAATTCTTGTAGATTGAAGCTTAGTCCAATTTTACTTGTTCTATAATAGCTAATGTTTTTCTATATATTTTAAGTCAAATCCTATTAATTTTTAAGTTCTTCGATTGTCACTAACTTAACTAATATAATTAATATTCTTTCCATTTTGAATTATTTTATAAAAGTCCGTAACTAAAGTTCTGTTTAAAATGTAAATAAAATATAGAACATCAGAGAGACTTAAAGTATTATTATTTTTTTTTTCTTTTTCTTTTTTGGACTCAATAGTTAAGAAAGTTGTGAATGAACTAATGCAGTCCAAAGTACGACCATATGGCCATCTGATATTGCATAAATCCCCCTCCCCCTTCCCCTCCGCCTCTATAGTCTATAAGAAGTGCAACTCTCTCCCTACCTCAACGAAATTGTAGTTATTTTCTTATTTGGTTTTAATTTTTGGGCTCTGTTTTTATTTATTTTCTTTTTTTTTTTTTTTTTTTTTTGAAAGATAAAATGAAGATTGCATTAAAAAAGGAAAGATACATTGTCTCAAAGAAAGTTAGCCAAAAGCTAACAGGACCAATGATACAGAAGCCCAAAAGACTAGCAGGCCCAGTTGGCCAAACAAAACATAAGAATGTTAACAAAGCCATTATAAGCAAAACAAATTTTCCGATGAACATGGAGCACTCTGCCTCCAACAAGCAAATCATCATGCTATGCGATCTGGGGGACGAAGGATTTCCACAGACAAATCCCATTCAGCCGCAGTTCTTCTTGGATCCTTCAAGTCCAATATCCTTGATGTGAGAAGCTTAGAACGCACAGAATCCAAGGTAATGTGAAGGAGTGAGTTTGCAGATATGGCTTTCTTTTGGAAAATCCTGCGATTTTGCTCAATCCATATATTGTAGACGAGGGAAGCAAGGCACATTATGGAGATTGAGTTACTAGAAAATGTAGATTTACCCTTCCAATGGAATGATACCCAGCCGATGAATTGCTCCCATGAAGAAGGTGAAATATGGAACCCACAGCGTGTTTGAATAAATGTCCAAAGGGGTTTCACATAGGGACAATTGAAAAACAAGTGGTCATGTGTTTCCGGCTCACCACCACAGAGGACACATAATGTGGCATTGATGTGTGCTGTGCATCGCTGATTTAATGTGGGGAGTCTATTCTGAATTGCCACCCACAGTGTGAATGAATGCTTGGGAATGGAAGGCTTTGACCAAACCAGGTGAGTCCATGGGAGGGTTGGCAAATGGTTGCTGAATTGTTTCATTGTTGAGGCAATGGAGAATAGTCCTGAGGGAGAAGGTTTCTAAATGAATTTGTCTTCTCTGTGAGTGTTTGGGTTTGGGAGAGATGAGGAACATTGTAATTGGGGTATAATGGCTGTGATGGAGCTAGGGAAGTCCCATGTGTTGTTGTCAATGAAGGAACACACTTTTGTTTTGCTGTCAAAAGTTGTTGCAGAGAGCTGTTGTAGTGAAACAAGCTGGAAGAGTGGACCAAGATGGCACCAGTTGTCAAACCAAAAATTGGCTGATCTTCCATTGCCAATTTCAAGTTTGACAAGAGGGTTGATTGATCCTCTAAGAGCAAGAATCTTCCTCCAACTCCAGGAGCATTGACCAGGTACCTTCACTTCCCAAATGCTTCTACCCTTTAAAAGATAAGAGTGAATCCACTGAACCCATAACATGTCTTTAGAGTTTAAAATCCTCCAGAAATGCTTCATAATAGCAGCTTCATTCCACAATCCTAGGTTAGGGAGCCCCAAACCTCCTGATTTCTTTGGGGAGCAACATTTTTCCCAAAGGACCTTACCCCCAATCTTTTTAAAGGAAGGCCCTAACCATAAAAAGAACATAAAAATGCCTTCCATCTCATGAATTATACTCATTGGAAGAATAAACTTTGAACTCCAAAACATTTGTGTTGAGAAAAGCACAACTTTAATTAACTGTAATCTTCCTGCAAATGATAGGTGGTTACTTGTCCAGTGGCTAATCCTAGATGTGATTCTGTCAATCAAATTCCTGCAATCCCCAGCTTTCAACATGGAAGTAAGCAATGGTACTCCCAAATATCTTATAGGAAGTACCCCTTTTTCAAATCCCAAAAGGTCAAGGATGTTTTGCTTCATAGCTTCATTGATACCTGAAAAAAAGACTTGACTCTTGGCATGGTTGATTTGTAGCCCAGAGATGGCAGAAAAGGAATCAAGGGCATGCTTTAGTGTTTAAACTGAGTCTAGGTTGCCATAAGAGAACAACATTAAATCATCTGCAAAAATGAGATGAGATAATGATAGTTTCTTGCACCTCCAGTGAAACTTGAAAGGCTTCTCTCTGATTGATTTGTCAATGATGAGGGAGAACACTTGCATGACAATGACTAATAGGAAGGGGAATAGTGGGTCTCCTTGCCTTAGACCCTTTACACTTTTGAAGTGGCCAGTGAGCTCTCCATTGATTGAAATGGAAAAGGTTGGGGTGGTAATACAAGCATGGATCCAATGTATGAAGGTTTGAGGAAAGCCAAGCAACTTGAGTGAGTCCAGCAAGAACTCCCAAGACACTGTGTCAAATGCCTTTTTAATATCAATCTTGAGTGCACATCTAGGTGAGTTGGTTTGTCTATGGTAACCATTCAACAACTCCTGAGCTAGTCCAATGATATGGGGTAAGGTAGGCTTGAGTTTATTTGCAAGAAGTTTAGAAATGCACTTGTAAATAGTAGAGCAATAAGAGATAGGCCTATAATCATTGGGGGAGGTGGGGTTAGCTATTTTAGGCACAAGTGTGATAGAGGTTGAATTGACCTCCTTAAGGAGCTTACCTGTGATGAAAAAATCAGTAATTGCCTTTGTAACATCCTGTCCCACAATAGACTATGTCTTTTTGAAAAAGTAGGCATTATAGCCATCAGGGCCTGGAGCTTTGTCACTGTTAAATGAGAAAATGCATTGTTGAATCTCCTCCTCAGATGGAACAGCATACAATGATGGTAAAAATTGTGAGGGTAATGAAGCTTGAATGAGGGGAATAAGAGAGTCAGTACCTGGATAGTGATGAGCATTCATCCCTAGGATGGAGTGAAAGTGGGAAACAAACTCTTCTTTTATTGCGAGATCAGTATCAAGAAGGACTCCATTGGTAGTTTTGATGGAAGAAATTTTGTTCCTGTTGCATCTAGATTTGATGCACTTAAAGAAAAAGGCAGTATTCGAATCCCCCTCTTTAAGCCATTGTATTCTGGACTTTTGTCTGTAGGTGAGCTCCTCTGAGTTCCTGAGGTTGGTATAAAAGGTTAGCAATTGTTTCTCTTGACTTCTAAGAGTGATATCATCGGGTGATTTATCAAGTGCAAGTTGACATTTTGAAAGTAAATCCTTGGCAGCTTGAACTTCAGTTTGAATTTCACTCTACTTGGCCCCTAACTTCAATCTTAGTGGTTTTTTAAGGGATTTGAGCTTGGAAACAATTTGGAACATGGTAAATCCTTCCACCTATGATGCCCAAATTGATTGGACAAGTGGTAGAAAATCATCATTATTGGCCCAGTAGTTGAAGAACCTGAATGGAACTCTCCTTGGAGGTGAAAGATTACCAAGATTGATAACCATGGGATAATGGTCAGATATCCCTAGGGAATGGAAATGGCAGTAAGACAAGAGAAAAGTTTGGGTCCAAACATCATTGATCAAGACCCTGTCTAATTTCTTAGAAATATTTGCAACTCTTGGACTTTTATTGAACTATGAATGAAACATCCCAGAGAAATTAAGATCTTCAAGATTAGATTTGTAAAGGCAATTCCTGAAGTCTAACATTGCTTTTGTAGTTTTCTTTGAACCTCCATGATTCTCAGCTTATGACTTGATAATGTTAAAATCCCCTCCTATAATCCAAGGTGAGGATGAGAAAATGGAGGAGTGAGAAGTTATATCATCCCACAATGATTCTCTTTCAGTGGAGTCATTTGCTGCATAAATAAATGATATATAAAATAAAGATCTGCAGCTTAAGACAGTGACACAGCAATGTATTACCTGTCTGGAAGAATGAAGAATCTAGAGGTTGACTGAGTTAGGATTCCACAAAATCCAGATTCTTCCCAGCTGTGAGAAGTGATAGTTGTGAGCCAATTGCCACGAACTAGCAATAAACTTATGGATTCTGTTAACATTGACCAACTGCACTTTGGTCTCTATGATAGAGAAGATGTCCATCTTAAACTGCTTTAGAAGTGTCTTTACTTCATTCTGTTTTAAGGGGCAATTGAGGCCCCTTATATTCCATAGGCCTATTAATACCATTTAATGGTATTGAGGAAGCTGCCACTTGGGAATAAATTCCCTCTCTGAGCTGAAGATGATCTTTTGAAGGAACTCTTTTTAGCCTTAAGACACTTAGACTTGTGCTTAAATAAATCAACATGAAGACTAGTAGTTGATCTTGATTCAGAAAGGCTTGAACATTCTGATTGTGCAGGTTGAAGGAGGTGGGAGGTGATTGTGCTACCAATCTTTGGTGGTGATTGGGTTGAGTTTACTCCACAGAAGGTGTCAGTGATCATTTGGGATGGTTTATAAGGGCTAAGGTCAATTGTGAAGGAATCATTTGGTTTGAAATAATGTGTTATCACATTTTGTCCAGGGTGTGGGGAAATAGAGGGAGATAAAGGAGTGGTAGAATCTGATGATGGTGGTGGGATTGGGGATGTGGAAGTACCAGTGTTCAAGCAAGGTGAATGAACTGGTGATTGTGTGGGTTTGGAGTGTCGATTGACTGGGACAATTTGCCACTCAGAGGAAGGTTGTGGCTTTCTTTTTGGCCGCACCTTCATAAAACATGTCTTACTTGAATGTCCAAATGAATTGCAGGTATAACAGATTTGAGGACAATTTTGATACTCAACATTGACATTAGCAACTTTCCCGGAGCTCATGTGGACCTTAAGCACCGTTGGAAAGTCTGAAGAGGCAGTGATGCTGATACAAACTCTTGCAAACCTGGTTTTGTGTCTATTAGCAGTAATGGAATCAGAGAATAGGGGGTGTCCAATACAACTCGAAATATAGCTCAAGCTAGAAGGCGTCCAGAATTGAAGGGGGAGACCAAAGAGCTTAACCCAGACAGGTAAAGTTGGATGAGAACTTTTCTGAAAGTAAGGAGTCCAATGGTTAAGGATTAAGGGCTTGTTAGCAAAGAACCATGGTTCCTCAGCCAAAATTTGGTCACAGTTTGCTGCAGATGTGAAATGGAATTCAAATAAACCCTTTTCAGAGCTGGTCACTTTGAGAAAGCCCTTATCAAACCAAAGAAAAGTGGCAATGTCTCTGACCATACCAAATGGAAGACTCTTGTGCACAAAATAACCCAAAAGGTTTGTTTTCATATTTTTGAATCAATCATGTTCTATTTCAAGTGGTAGAGAAATGGAGCAGTCAGAGGATGTAGGGATGTTTACAAGACAGAGTGGAATCCTAGAGGGTGATGATCTGGTGGATTTTGACTTGGGCGAGGAAGGATTAAGAGGATTAGATTTAACAATTGAAGACCAAGTTGGAGATGAACCAGTTTGGTTGGGTTGGTTACTTGGATTGGTTGGCTTAGGATGGAGAGGGTTACTTTCTGCGGCAGTGTGGGGATGTAGATGCATAGGGTCATGGTTTAAAGGGAATGTAGGGTCATGGTTAGTTGCCAAAAGAAGGGGTGGGGAGGTGTTTGTGTCAATTGAAGACAGAGGAGGAAAGTCAATAGGATGACTGACATTATGTATTTTAGGAGAACAATGGTTAGAGGCATTACCTGGAGGGTAAGAGGGGGCTGTTGGATTCAAATTCAAATTCAAGTTTGAATCTGAGCTTGCGTCAACCTCATAGCAGCTGATGTGATGGCCATAGGGGGGGTGGTGCATCTCTGAGCTGGTTGAGACATGGTGGTAGGATCTACAACAGTGGTAGCTTGCACTGAGACACACTGGGAATGGAGCGTATTCTCCTTGCAATGAGCCTCATCCTCATCCTTATCCTCCGAAGGAAGATCATGGTTGGATGCAATAATTTGATCACTGAGGACATTGATTTTGTTCCTCAATTTGGCTTGAAAACGTATACCATCACCAATGATCTCCCTAAGCCATTCAACCTCCTCCAGCAAACGAACATATTTGTAATTGCTCTTATATTCCAATAAGTCAACCCGTAGTCTGAAAATCTCATCAATCAATGTTTGGGTGTTCCTGGGATCAATGTCACTCATGATATTGTTA